ACACACACACACACACACACACACACACACACACACACACACACACACACACACACACACACACACACACACACACACACAATTAAAGTAGTAATGATGATGATGTAATAATTTCAGCCACAAATGAAATTATTTCTAGTGAAAATCGGGAGAAGGTGAATAGGTTTGCATAAAACTTATTTTCAATTTTATGCAGTTTCCAGTTCAAAACCTAGTTTGTTCTTGTCAATGTTTGATAATACTGTAAAATATGGTCCGATTTATCTCCAGTTCACATGTAGCAGAAATGATTTTGTATTTTTGTAACTATCGTCCGTTTTGGACCAATAAATAAAACACTTGGAAGTCTTTGATGCATGTGTTCAAGCATCTTTATTAACAGATTTAGATGCATTTATTCTTGTTGAAGACAGTTTGATGAAATCAAACGACACTTCTTTATTTATTTACCAGCGTATCAGCTATGTGTCTGATCTGAAATGATAGGGATCTACACAGGATGAGTTGTTGAAGGATCACTGGTGGTAGAGATCGTCCAGATCGTCCTCTGGTTCGCTGTGCTTCCTCTGAGATGGTAAATAAACGGGATCGACACCTTCATAATCATCTTGTAGGGAGGTGAGCTTCGGGAGGTCTTTGTGGTACAGGTCGTCCATGTCCTCCTCTGGTTGAAGGTGAACTCTCACCTCACTTCCACCCATGACCTCACGGCTCAGCAGCTCCATCTGCACAGGTGAAGCCTGGTTATCACGGTGATACAGCTCGTCCCCAGCTTCATATCCAGCCACTAGTGGAGCCAGATATACATCCAGCTCCTCCCTCGCTTTGTGGTAGACTTCATCCCAGTCCTGCTCAGGCTCGTCTGAGGCCACCTCACTGATACTTGTCTGGTCGATGTCATCTTTATCCTCCTCTGGTTCCTGATGGTTCTTCATGTAGGCAACTTCCTGCCAAGGTTCTGCCCGGATGTCAGCAGCATGGAGGGCATTTTGGATCTGGACATTGAGCAGATCAACCATTGAAGGATGGTACAGTTCATCGAAGTCTTCTTCGGCCTTCAGGGGCTTCTTGTCCTCTCCACTGGCTGACATACTCTTCCAAATCATCATGCGAGGGTTGATGTCATAGTGAGTCTCATCCATGTCCTCAGGAGGCTCCACTTCCACTCCCCAGGACATCTTTCCATTCTTATCTAAGGACCTGAGATAAATAGAAATAAAACACACACACACACACACACACACACACACACACACACACACAATCTAAGTCTGCATATCCTCAATCCAGGAGACAATTACTCTCTTTAGGTTTAGTTTACAACTTACAAAACCGTATCCTGGAATGCTTCATCTTTGAGTTTATTCTGAGAAAAGAGCACAACTATTACGTGACTGATGTCCAATAAACATACATGCTTGTCATTTGAAATTAGTCAGGAATAATTTATTATATGATTTGTAGCTGTAGAGCCAGCCAGTAGCAATATATACATACCCAGGGTGTATATGGCTTTGCAGTGATGCCAAATATCAGATAAACACAGACTATTAGAGAAAACCTAAAAGTGAAGAGACTCTGGATTAAAGTCCATATTTCAACACTGTGACAGACATTACACAACAGACCCTTGTCCAGTCAAAGAAACCAACCATGCAATCTCTACACTGTTACACATTAGAACCAGGTTAACAATCAGAGTCAGAAACCCTTTGAAGAGATCTGGAGTTTCCTTACCTCAACATGTTGACTGCTTTCAGCTCAACGCTTTGGATCTGAACAAGTAACTTCCCCTTCACCTTCTGTGAAAATGAAGGACCAAAGTCCCACCAATAAACTCATGATGTTTTCTTGACCTTTGTGTGAGCGTCAGCTGTAAATATCTTTCTGCCTCGAGCAACATTTAGTCAACCTACTGGTGTCTCTGTGCCAATGGCTGATTACAAACTCATTCTGTCATCGAGTCTAACAAGTGTGAGTGTACCTTTTATTGTATATATCTGAGTAACATCAATGTCACTTCTGGTTTAGTTCACCCTTGTTATTTGACTGTGATTGAAAGGTTACCCAATTTGAATTTCTGGCATTCAGGGACAGTTAAAAATACTGTTTTAATAGATTTAATCAGTTTTACAAGAACATTAACCTTCCTTGTCAGCAATCAGTGATCATAATGTCATAACGCCCAATGGCCTTAAAGCTGAGGTTGAGATATTTTATCACGAGACAAACTTTATCTTGCAGTAAAAGTTTCTCCAATCCAATGAGGTTATCCAGATTACCTGCGCTCAATGTAACTAGTCTTTGTTTCTGTACTAGATTATGTGGGCATCAAAATTCAGCAGTTTGCCATTTGGCATTATACAAATTAAGAAGGAAACAAGATCTCAATCTCAGAGGGGTTTACCTGATTAAATAAACTTTATAATAATACAACAATAATCCTGACTTCCTGTTTTCTGTCATTGCAGGAGGTGAGACCTGACTGTTCATGATAATGCTTTGGACTCTTAATGTGGGTCATTTTCTGTAGACAACACAAGCATCATACAACTTCTACTGTTATTTAAATACAGTGATTTGGGATTTTTTTTATGCATACGCTAACTGGTCAGTTAGTTATTCAGAAGAAGGGATGGCGTGCATAAAAAGTATATTATTTATATCAAAAGAAAATTCATGTACATATGTAATGTTACCATGAAGCAGCAAGGCACATACTCCCCATGCTCGGCTTACTTTCACAGGAACTTTCTCAGACAGACTCCCTCCTGCGTACAGCTTCAATCATTTAAAAAGACTAATTACCCTCCACACACACTCCCACTGTAGGAGGACAGTTTGAAGGCAGATGATCAGTCTGTGATCTTTGTGCCGGCCACAACGCTTACTGAAGCAACTGCTAAGAATGTGTCAGCTCAAATGTACGTCCATGCCAAGATCCTATCACGCTGACCATTTCAGAATAAAAAATCTTGTGGACTGATGCACGGAATAATAATTACAACTTACTTTATGAATAAATCTATGTGGCCAACAACAGAAAGCATTGAGACCATGTTAAACATCTGTAAGTTGCATTACACAGCTATGAACAAATTGAAACTAATCGTACGTAACATACACCCTGAAAGAATGTGATTTAATTTCAGTTTAGTGTTTTAGCGTCTTGCAGTCCCTCCATCTGCTGTGATGCAGCTTATGTTAGCGTTTACTTCTTAGGAGACCGTTAGGACTGTGAGAACCCTTCACTGCTCATTTGTCCCTGTTCATACAACAGTAGGAGACTCATTAAGTTAACATGTGGGTTAATAATGTCTCATGACAACAGGATTCTGCACACACACACACACACACTGTACAGCAGAACAGGACCAGACAGACACACTACACACTTCCTGCTCTGTTCAAGGGACGGCTCCACTGCGTCTGCTGATTATCTGCCCTCTCTATCAGATCCATATGTAGCCTACAAGTCCAATGTTACCCCTCGACTAGCCCCACTCCCAGGTCACGCAGTGGTCTACATGTCTTCTACCCACAAAAGGCTCCCTGAGCAAGCAAATGCTAGACATCTTTAAGACAGTCAGTAGCACATGAACAAGGAAGCGACCACTGTCTGATTCTGCTTTTAGTCCACACATAGTAAGACATTTGTGTCTAGTTTATTTATTCCTTTAAATCACGTAGACTCCCTTCATGAAGATAATCATTAAACATTGCTGACAGGTTCATACTGGTGACAAACATACTGGACACTGGCTGTTAAACTGACATTGAGGAGTATGATGTGAGCCATTAAGGAAATGCTTTGTCGGTCTCCCAGAAACCACAACCCTGGGAGAAGACATCCCGCTACTCCAAGTCTTGAAAGTGAGCTTTGATGGATAAAGTGTGCTGAAGCTTCTACAGATGCACCCCCCACCCCCCCCTGTGTCCCACACACATCAGTGAATCATGTGAAGGCCAGAGGCCCGGCAGCTACCAGCGCAGATTAACCACAGGACTCTGCTCCCTGAACTTCTGATGGCCTCACAGGCTTACGGGAAAACACGCTCGTCTGTGGTTTTACCAACCTCTGGTCGGCAGAGCGCTGCGGCTCAGCAAACGAGTCGCTTTACATTTGACTAAATTGTGTCTCAGTCACTCCACTAAGGTGATGAAGTCTCGGAGAGTTTAAAAGCCGTAGAGCTACTTGTAAAAAGTTAGAAGAGGTTGTTTTTCAGAGCACTTTATATGAAGTGCATTCAGAGGCATTTTAAAATATAATTTAGGCATAGCATGATTGTGACCATACAGATACGACAGTGATAGCGATGTTCTCATCTCACGGCAAGAAAAGATAATGGTGTCTTTCACAAAATGTCAGACCTGTATATCTGTATTTTTCACTTAAACTTGTTTCTAGGCTCAAAGAAATGTTATATCAATATGGTTGTTTATTACTTTGACCAGCTCATACACTCAAAACCAAATACGTTTATATGTTATTGTGACATGGCCCATGTGTCACGATAAGTTTGTATTCTTGGCGGTGCAGGACTTTATGTAGTGTATTTCTCAGCTTCTCTACTTTCTAATTGGCTGCAGGTGATTTGAGGATAATTACATTTTTATATGTGGTTTGTGCAGATTATGTCCTGACACCTCTAGAAACCATCAGAGGCTTGGTTTGATCTGCCAAGTGCATGAGCAAATATGTTTCCCCTCCTCCTGTCACACTACAAAGTGCATACCTTTGCTTATGTCCTGCCATTGGCTAGATGTGTGTGCTGGTGCAATGTTTAAACACATATATATTTGGTGAATGACAAGTATTTTGGAAAATAAGAGGGCACCCTATAAAAGACCAGAACGAGTGGGAGTTGTCAGCAGGTAATGATCGCTGCCAATAAACTGTAAAACACACACACAGTCACACGATGTTATTGCACAAAATGCGAGGAGTGAGCCAAGAATAAATTGCCTGTCTGTAACTATTTAAATGCCCATAAACATGCTTCAAATGCTGCAGCTTGCAGCTATTTAAGGGGGAAGCCGCCAAACTGAATGTTCCCATTTTAAAAGGAATGCTCTCGGCTTCATTTTGCTGAAAGATTCTCTATACAATTTAATATTACAGCACACAACTATTGTCTATGATATGTTAGAATAATGTCTACCTGAGCAGAGAATGAAGTCCCGCTCCCGCTGTGTGTGCTGTTATCAAAGCTTCTATGTGCTTTGTTGACACAGCCGGGCCGGCCACACAAGCTTTTACTGCATGATAGTGCATATGAGCGTGCCCCACTGCATGATAAACCAAGCCTCAGGTTCCCCACCAGGTAAACACTGTTAGCTCTGTCAGCACTGTTGCCGTTGTTTGCACTGTTAGCGCTGTTAGCTGCTAGTACCATTGTCGCAATGTTGATAGCCGTTGAGAGACAATATGCTCTGAATTTCAAATTTAGCACCTGTAATGTGCGCTTTTTCTGCCTCACAGCTGTTGCATGACGTGTGATGAGTAGGAATGCACGTCATAATAACAGCTTATTACTGCTAAGACTGTGAGTAATGCAGCCGTCATGTTTGTACTTGACTTAAAGTGGCGTCTGTATCAAGAGTTCTCTACAAACAAATAGAAAACAATCAGCTAAGACATCAGGCTCCACGCTAAACCTCAACACATACTGTATCTCTGTTTGAAACCAGATAATGAACATAGTGACTGAAAAGTCACCCCTCCGCCACTAAAACAATCATCAGCATCAAAACCTCATCATCATCGTCACTACTATCAGTAAATCCCATAAAGGTCGTCCTGGAGCGCAGCGCTGTATTTGAGTCTAACCACCCCTCTGTCTTTACTCACAGTCTTCCGTCATGTCCCCCCCCACACTCACAACATTTAGGAAAGCTGGGGTTTTCTAAATTACTAAAATTATCTCAATGATCTACAATTAACTTAATTGATGCTTCACCAATACCCATTAAACACACATTAGACATCTCACGGTGGAGTTTAACCGCACCAATTACAGGGCTGGGGGAAGGACCTCCATGGAAGAGCGGAGGCGAACATGAAGTGTTGTGATGACGGTCTGTTGAACGGGGGAGCTGTCAGACTTACAAAGTGGCCGCAGGAAGAATTAGTGAGCCATCTGCTCAACAGTTGCATGTGGCACTGGAGCTTTTGACGCTACCTTTAGCATGTTTCAGTGCTGATGCTTAATCAAATGTCTCCTCAATGATCCGGTGGGAATTTAGGGAGGCAAAATGAGGGGAGTGATGAGCCAGTCAGTCTGAGGCCCGGAGCCACCTGACTATCTGGCTCCACAGGTAATGCCTGAGACAATAGCTCTGATGACAGCCGAGGCAGACGAGGGGAGCTGCACAGCTACACATGAGACAGACAGAAAGAGGAACTCTCCCCTCTGCCTGTTATGTAACTGATGACAGAAGACTGGGAGGCTCTTTGTCTGTCTGAGAGGAGACACAGAGGAATATGGGTGACCTTTGTGTCCAGAGCAGCTAATCTGAAAAAAACTGATCTGAGTATCTGTGTGAAAGATGGCCATTAGTGACGGTAGTTGTTTATGCTGACACAGACCCATTACATTGCTTTGACAGTGTCAACCATGGAAATATTATATTATAAACACTGTAAAGACTCTCTCCCTCTCTCTCTCTCTCTCTCTCTCTCTCTCACACTCACACGAACACACACACACACACACACACACACATGCACACACTGGCTCAATCACATCCCTCTTAAACTCATGTGGGAGCTGTTAAAGTAAGTTTAATGGCTATTTACTGTGTTTTGG